TGCGTCTGGCGAAGTATTGTTTCAGTCTATGGTCATTGACAAATATTGGCCAGCCTGTGCTTATGCACTCTTTTACTTTCGCCAGATCGTTATCCTGCTCTGTGGCATGGGCAATTCCTTTGCTCGACACTGGTAGGGAGGCCAGCCGCAATGAATAGAAAGTCTCTTCCGACTCCTGCGTTTCGTCTTTCACACATGGTAGCGGCAAACGGGAGCAAAAATCGGCTTCTGCGTTATCGGCTGATTTTCTAAAAAGAAGGTCGTATCTGTATGCCGACAACGTCACAGCCCACCGCTGTAGGCGCGCAGCCGCGATAGGCGGAATACCTGTTGTTGGCCCCAAAATTTGCTGTAAGGGTTTATGATCAGTGATTAAAGTGAATGCGCGGCCATAAATATAGCAGTGAAACTTTTTTATGCCAAAGATTATGGCCAGCGCCTCTTTTTCAAGCTGGCTATATTTCTTCTCTGCCTCGGAAAGCGTGCGCGAAGCAAAAGCAACTGGCCTAGACTTCCCGTCCTCAAAAACATGGGAGAGCACTGCACCTACCCCATACTGCGATGCGTCACAGGCCAGCTTTAATGGCCTATCCGGGTCGTAGTGGGCCAGCACCTGCGGCGATGACAGCATTCTTTTAACTTCGTTGAACGCGTCTCGGCAGCAGTCGTCCCAACACCAAGGAGCGTCTTTCCGTAAAAGCTGGTAAAAAGGCACAGCCATTGTTGAAAGATTAGGCACAAACTTTCCATAATAATTAACGACACCCAGGAAGGACTGCAGTTGCTGCTTGTTTGTCGGTGCGGCAGCGTTTATGACTGCTTCAATTTTCTCTGGTGACGCAGATATTCCTGCTGCAGTAATTTTGTGCCCCAGGTAACAGAGCTCATTTTGAAAGAACGCGCATTTTTCTTTCTTTATTTTGACGCCTCGCTCCAGCAACCGTTTCAAGAGTGCGTCTAGGTTTACCAGGTGTTCTTCAGCGTTTCTTCCTGTGACTAAGATGTCATCGAGATAACAACAAACTCCGTTTAGGCCCTTCAGCATTGTGTCCATTATTTTCTGAAAAATACCTGGTGCTGACGCTATTCCGAAAGGTAGCCTGTTGACTGCAAACAGCCCTTTCCGCGTGTTCAAAGTCAAGTACTTCTTCGACTCTTCTGACATGAGTACTTGTTGGTATGCCCTGTTAAGGTCGATCTTACTAAAGTGCATTCCCCCGGCCAACGCAGCTAATAGGTCATCAATTTTAGGTAGCGGGTAGTGTGTGATGTCCAGAGAGGGGTTTATCGTTGTCTTATAATCCCCACAGAGACGTATGCTTCCATCTTTTTTTATCACTGGCACGGCGGGCGTGGCATATTCTGATGTATTCACGGGTGTGAGTATTCCCAGCTGCACCAATTTTTCTATCTCTGCTTCTACTGCTGACTGCAGTGCGAATGGCACATTGCGTGCCTTCAGGAACCTCGGCCGGTGATCGGCTTTGAAGAACAGCTCGGCCCTTTCGTCTGTGATAGCGCCTAGCTCATCCTTAAACAGCATTTTGTATTTTTCGAGCAACGATTCTAGCCTTTCCTTCGTTCGCGAGGACAAGTCGAACACTGACCTTGAGACGTGGTTGAGGCCCCAAATCTGGTTCCAGTTTAGCCGTACTGTGCGCAGCCATTCACGCCCTAGCAGTGGTGGTCCTGCTTGATCGACGAGGTAGAGTGGTAGTTTCGCCGTCTGTTCCCCGTGCTGCACCTTGACGACCGCCACGCCGCAAGGTTGGACGAGTGCTCCGGTATAGGTGCGCAGGACGATGTCTGTTGGTCCGCATCTGGCTGAAGGGAACTGCTGCTTGAACTGCTTGTAAGGCATGATAGACACCGCGGCTCCCGTGTCAAGTTCCATTTCCACCAGTGCTCCATCTATTTTCAGTCCAACAAAAATAGGAGTGCGGCCGGACGCCACTTGTTCCGAAACGCCTATGGGTGGCACCTGCGTGACCACTTTCAGCGTTTTCACTCTCCGTTTCTGCTGATACCCGCCACAATATTGCCCGTTGCTGCGACAGGCCCTTTGAATATGCCCTTTCTTTCCACACTTATAGCACGTATTATTAACGTGAGGGCATACTGAATGAGTGTGGCTCGGAGAACCGCAGCGATAACAAGCCAGTCGCTGCTTACCGGAAATCGCTTGCGCCTCGTACAAATCAGCAGGGTCATAATTGCATTCTCCCTCCATTTTGTGCAGCTGTGTGGCCACTGACTCTACGACTCTAGTCTCGGCAACATTCTTCCGGGCCGCTTCCATGGCCAGGGCGCGCTCGACTGCTCTCGGGAACGTCAGTTTGTCGTCCTCGGTAAAGAGTACTCGCTGCACGTCCTCTCGCAGTAGTCCACAGACCAAACGATCCCGCAGCGCTTCGTCCAAATTTGCTCCAAACTGACAACTCTGGGACAACTTCCGAAGTTCAGCAACATATTCGGGCAGAGACTCGCCTTCGTGCTGTGCTCTGCGGTAAAACTTTGCTCGTTCCCCGATTATGGACGGCTTTGGGGCAAGATGTGCATCCAAGAGGCTCTTCAGTTGCTCGAAACTTTTTCCCGATGGTAGGTCAGCCAACGACTTCAGCAACCCATACGTACGCGGTCCGATGATGCTGAGGAATGCGTGTACCTTGTCGCTGTCGGGAACCTTGTTGACAATCAGAAAAGAGGTCAACCTCTCCTTGTATGCCGTCCAGTCGCTTGCAGTAACGTCGAATGACTCCATCTGGCCCAGCTGCCCACCAGACCGCATTGTCGCTTCTTCACCACACTGCTCGCTACTCTTCATTTTGATCCCATCCTCGTCGCCAGTGTTGAATCTCGTCCAGGGACTGACAAGGCCAAGGGTCCAACGGGCAAACAACAGCGTTTATTGCCGAAGCGTACGACTGGGGTTACATCACGGGAAATGGAGGACAGTGCTTTGAGCGTTACTATTTAAGCACTAGTGGGCGCATGCGCACTAACGACAGTTCGGTTATCAGGTGTGCTATCGCGAACACCACACTATGTACAACCGACTGTTATGTAAAGATTATCTCTCTCTCTCTCTCTCTACACAGACACACACACACGCACAGACACACGTATACACGGCAACCAGACCAGAGCTAAGAGATGGTTATTTTGCTTGTAAAGTGAATTAGACCACTTGTGGCAGTTCATCCGTAATTAAAGTAAAAAATAGAAAAGGGCAAAATTCCGCACAGCACGCGTCTCAGAGAACGAAACTCAGTGTCCCAGGGAAGTAAATGATCTCGATATAAGCAGTTGCACCAATCATTCAGTGAAAAAGTTTTCGGTAGAAGACGAGCACGTATTATATGCAATGGTATAGCAGCGCGAATCAATTGGAATGAGAGAAATCACATTGTTTCCCATAGAAAAAGAATTTCGTGGTAAAAATTTTAAAGTTGAAGATCGCGATTATAAATTTACTAAAGTAGTCCCTTTAGTGCGCATGAAATATAGTAAAATTCTATTGAAACCTCAGCCTCTCTCTAGATATGACGTTCACAAACTGGCCGACTAGCTATTGAGTACGAGCCAAGTGCACAGTGCTAAAGATGAGACATCAGGCACGCTAAATTACTACAGGCGCGGTGTATATGTGAAGGGTCGATATAAGTACATATTTCTTTTGATTCGGCGCTGCTCTTCACCCTTCATACTTCGTTGCCGTTACTCGGAACAAGCGAAAGTAAAGTGGCGTTAGGGCTTGTTGGTAAAGCATAAAATTGTATGGTGCAGCTTGACTACCACGTCGCCACATGGTATAGTCATTGTTGCAGAAGTGCACTCCACGTGGTAGCGACGTAAGAAACACTGGGACGTGAGCATTACGTGAGTAAGTACGGCACTCTGGCCCGCCTAAGCCGTGCAGTGAGGCAATGTGCAGCGCTGCGTGTATGGCTCCCGTTGGGCGATTATTAAACGAAAGCAAAGCGGTGAACATGCTCGAACGAAAAAAAAAAAAGCAAGATCTATACGCCCGTTGTACGCTTGTACTCCTCCGGTAAAGTTTTAGGAGCCACACGGGGGCGGGGGGGGGGGGCAATTAGAGGACGATAACGGTGGACAACTTTTGAGAACACGTTCCCGGGAATTTTCGGGGCCACTTCGCGCAATAGCGTAATGATGGAGGTCTGTAGTGGCGGGGTCGCTGAACGGCTCTTGGCGTTTTTTTTTCGCTTTTTGTTTTTATTTTATCTCGAGAAGCAAGCAGGAAAAGTACAGTCTAAAAACGTTGACTACTGCCATTTTATACACGTGAAAGTCAGACGTGTGGCGCTCCTTTTAGAGAGTCACGTTGACTCTGGTGGCACATACGACTCTCCTAAAACGAATGGACGTGCCTCTCTAAAGAGAGTTATACACGTGTGATTCTCACATGTGTAAAAGGAGAGTCCGAGGACACCCTTTTTTTTCTTAAAGTGCACAAAATACCGCAATAACTTAGGGACCCGACGGCAAGGCGTCCCTAGGGCTCGAGTTATCTGACCTCGCGCGGTATTTAAATAGTTTCGAGTATTATTGCCATTTAGAGTATTAAACATGTCTTTCTTAGCTGGGCTAGCTAAGGGAAGCGTAGAGCGGAACTTGCTAAAGACCACATGCCCCCCCCCCCCCCCCATTTTTTTTTAGAATCAATCACGATAGAAAATGTCAACGAGAATTACCGAAGACCACAAATGCGCACCGGCAGTAACACGACGGACGCGGAAGCTAGAAATGAACGGGAAGTTACGTGACTGAAGTTAGAAGTGGGGCGAAGGAGTGACAGAGGTTCCAAGAAAACGCAACATCATCTTTATTTATCCCTAATCTAAATTATTCACTTTTCGGTCATTCTATTTTTTTTCCTGCTTGGCTGAAGACTTCGCTGCACCACATCAGGTCGGCGTGGTGAAGCATACGAAAAAAAAAAAAAATGCCGCAGGAAAGGAGAGTTGTGCGGTGCTCACCTTGGCGGACCTCCCGAGCCCAGCACGCAAAGCCCATGACTGGCCGCTGTCCTCAGCCATGCAAGGGCACACCGGCGGCTGCTCGCATGCGCCGCCGCTCAACCTGCGATGAATGAATTGGGCAGCACACTGAGTATGAACCAGGGTCGTATGCACGCCTGCTACAACAGGGTACCTTTAGGTCGTTTCAACACATTCTAAACCGCCACACAAATCTCATAAAAAAAGATCAAGACGGTTGGTCTCGTTTTCTTTTTTTTTTTAAATTTCATGCCAGACCCAAGCATCCTTCAGCATATCTTTAAGAGAGAGAGAGAGAGAGAGAGAGAGAGATATGGTATAAAGAAAGGCAGGGAGGTTAACCAGAAAGCAAGTGTCCGGTTTGCAACCCTGCACTGGGGAAGGAGAAGTGGGAGACAGAAAAGTAAGAAAAAGGGAATGAGAGAAAGAGAGCGGGACGGAAGCGAAAACACACAAACACACTGAAACGTCACAATCGTTCGACGAGGCGGGTCGATCGCAGAAACTTCAAGAGGGCCTTCATCGCTTTCTTTAAAATAACATCTTTAAAATAAGAGAAAAGTGAGCGCGAAACCCGAGACGCTTCCCAACAATAATCTGAAGAAGAGGACACCAGCCAGACAACCATGGCATTAGTCGAGAGTAACATACGTAGATAAAAAAAAAAGGCTATAGCTTCAAATGAATGGCTGCACCAGGGCATTCAGGCCGAAATATAATTGATGATCGTCCGGATAAGTTTGCTTCATTCTCACATGCGTGCGAGAGGGTCACACGAAGTGTCGCAGAGAGCTGACATGCAAACGCTCGTCAGAGCACACACCACACATACGAGTACAAGGCACAGAAAGAATGACTGTTTTTGAGCAAGGAAATAACGAGGGAAGTGGTCGAGGGTGATCAACCTCTTGCTCCCTCGTGATTTACTTCAGCCAAGGCAGCCTTATACTTTTAAGTGTGAATACACTTAATAAGCGACCCCAAACCATCCACCGCCGTCGGCGGCGTCCGCAGCCTTCTCTCTATCTTTAAAAGAAAGAGGACTTGGCGGGCCGCAGCGCCACGCTCATAAGCCACGGACGCGAGAGAGAGAGAAACAACATTTTTTGTGCATCCGGCGTGCGGGAAGTCCGCGCAGGGCGCGGGTATTCCCTATCTAAAAACTATAGCTACGCTGATATCGGTGTCGCTCCTCCGCTCTCCTCGCTCGCTGCAGCTGCGCGCGCACTCTCTCTCTCGCGCGCCCACCTTCTCTCTCAGTCTCCCGTCGAGAGCGGGTCGCGCGATGGATGTCCCGGAGGCAACGCTACCATCTGGATATAAGGCGCGTTACTGACACCGATATCAGCGTCGCCAACGGATTTTAACTTTACTCCCCCTCATAGCATCACCCCATGCATTCGCACTTAACCATGTTCACCCTCGGGGAAATGCTTGGGAGTTTTTTTGTTGTATTTGAACATGAACCGACTATAGCCCAGCAACGCGTCCACACCCACACAGAGTTAGCTGCGGTAGTTTTTAAAGTGACACTGAAGAGAAGACGAAATAGATGCAGATACACGAAGTGAATCGTGATGACGAAGCAAAGCCAAATCATAAGGTCCTTAATGTCTACGTTGAAGTCACCGACTAGTATAAAGCACGGGCAGATGAAAGGACGGACAGAGTACGGACAGTGATGGACAGAGTACAGAGTATGGTGGACAGAAAATTTGTGTTTCGGTTCGACGGGGACTGACATCGTGCCAGCCTACGGAGCTTCGCTTTTACAAAAGATATTTCCCGAATTAGTAAACTAACACTTAGCGACACCTAAATAAACACTCCTGCCGCGAAAAGACACATGGTAAGGCAGAAAACGCGCAAAAGAGATAACGCAGGCGGTGGCCCCATTTTGAAGGCCAAACCTCATAAGCGCGAAAATGCACGCGACCGCGACAAGCGACGCGACGTAGATCGGCTTTGCGCGATCAGTCGCTAGCGCAGGCAAACCTCATTCACGCGACGGCTTCGGCGAGCGAATTCCACTGTTGCTGGCATGAGGCCGTCTACTCGCACCAAGAAAACCACGTAGCGAGCGGTATGCAATTTAAAAATAAGATATATTGTTGTGTAATGAAACGGAAAGTGTTTATTATTGCCTTGCAGCACTTTTTATATGCACATGCTTAATAACATGCGTTATTTATTGTTGTGCATACGTGACTCGGGCAGGGTCACGTGCACCTATGTAGTCTTTGTCTTTTCCGGTTTTTCGCTATTGGCTGCTTGAGCCCAGCACTTCCGGGCGATGAGCGACGGTTTCCAAATCTGGAGAACCGAGCGATCGCGCGAAAACGAGCACGCGACACGTCGCGCGAACGCCCTGTTTCGTCGCTCATAGCGTCGCTCGTCGCTGTCGCGTGCATTTTCGCGCTTATGAGGTTTGGCCCTGAATTTTCTGCAATAATCGCCGTGACGCCACAGATCGTGACGCCATCTCCTAGGGCCCGCGCACTATTTTCAATCGCTTAAAATTAAGTACAATGTCCTCCAAGGGGAAAAACTCAGGAAGTTAATATATTTAGAGCTATGTGACTAAATACGAAAAAAAACAAACAACAAAAAACAAAAAAAAGACGCTGAAATCCAAGACGCAGCAGTTTACGTAAGAACGCGCAAAACATTTCGGCGCGAAATTTAAAAAAAAAATGAAACTTTGACCTTTTTTTGCTCTTAAAAGGGCTACTGACAGCAAGTTTCGCCTCCGAGAAAGCCGGCGGATCAATTCCCGTGAACGTGCAATATATTGTCTACATGATATCAACAGCCAACATACAATTTAAATGCACCTTGCATAAAGTTCCAAGTTTGCATGTTAAGATATTGACAAACGGTCAAAAGCGACCCAGTGGTGAACCCTTTACTGTCGGCTGCACGTCGCCACACTGCTGTCCATAACACAAGTTATGATGACGTCACAGCCACCATTTCTCTTTTTGTCCGCGTTCGTTCCAGCAGCTATAACTTCACGGGCGGCTGCTCGCGAGTTCAGGGCACACGCATTGAAAGTTTCGTATTTGCGACAATGCTGTCACGTTTCCTGGTTCGATAAGGACGTGTTGATGCGGACCGTTCGGAAGTGCGTCAGGAGTTGTGTGTGCTTACGTGGTCCGAGCGCTGACACGTTAGATGGTGATAGTTTCACCCGGTGACTTGTCGTTTTCGGAGCTCTCTCAAACCGAGTGAGCGAGTAAAGACTTTATTGGGAATGTTCGGCGGTATTTAGCGGGGTGGGGCTACAAGCACCCCAGCATAGGTGACGGCCTCGAGTCGTTGGACACGGGCGACTTCCTGGGCGTGCCGGACAGCCCACACAGTTGATCGGCGAGGTCGCGGCTGAGCAGAGCCGCCTCCCATCGCGCCTCGCGGTTCGGGACAGCCATGTCTACCCGGTTCATAGGGGACTGGTGCATGCTACCGGCGCACTCCCACAGCATGTGCTGCAGCGTAGCTCTTGCTGCACAAGCTTTACAGTCGTCGGATGTATAAATGTCTGGGTAACAGAGGCGTAGGATCACTGGGTTCGGGTACGTGTGAGTCTATAATTCCGAAACTTTTTTTTTTTACTTTACAGTCCATTTTCACATATGTGAGTCAGACAATCCTCGCACTTGTAATGCCAAGCTTGAAGAAATCGCAGAGCCAGGGGGGGGGGGGGGGGGGGCTTTCTTTGCTTCTATTTCGTTTCCTCTTTCATTTTTCTTTATTTCTACTTTTTTCATTTTTGTACGTTATTTTGCCCACGTTTCGCTAAGCGACAACACCACACGACAGAATACGACAGCCCGTTTTCCCAACACGCTCCTCCCTTAGAAGATACAGGCAACTTCTGACTGTGTTCACTAAAAGCCGAATATTGTTGGGTGACCACGTCATGGCCGCCTCTACACGACGCATAGTATTCAAAGAATGCTTCATCAGCACAAACTGCCTAATTGTTTTGACTTAAGAGCTTTTCACAGTCGGCTTCGTGGGGCCACCATAGTCCCTTCTTGCTAGGTTAAACCGGCATGTCCCTCCGAAATGACATCTGCCGAGGCTGTGGCGGTCCGCCTGTGTATTGCGCGCGCGCAGACCCAGCACGGCGGCATTATTTTCTCTTCTGTGAAAGGTATACAGTTCCTCGAACACTTTGCCCCGGGGGCAGTCCTTCTGCGAGCTCGCGCAAAAGGCGACACCAACGGAATTCCCGCATCGCACAGAAAAAGGATATTTTCTCGCACGCATTGACGGCGACGCGTGACGAACTCTTTTATTCTCCTTCACGTCGGGCCACTTGTTTTCGCTTCTCCGCTTAAAGCAAGGCCGTTCTTCTTCAGGCGATACAGTCTGTCGAAGGTCGATATACGTGTCTAGCCTGCACGATTGGGGCAAAGCACGGCACTCTCTTCGTACGTACGTGATGAAATTCGGGTGAAAAAAAAAGAAAAGAAAGGGTGACTATAGAAAAAGTGACTACGACTAGAGAAATGACTATAGAAAATGAATATAGAAAGAATGACTATAGGTGACTATAGAAAGGGTGACTATAGAAAGAAAGAATGACTATAGAAGCCTTGTTTTAACGCAACGAGAGAATTTTCGATCGTACAGATGGGTATCGCGTTAAAACAAAAGAACACAAGGAAGGCACTTTTCGGAGAGCTGAATGAAAAAAAAAATAAAGAACACACGAAAGCGAGAGCCACTTTTTCGATGGCGCGCAGATCGGGTTTTTTTCGGCCGAGCAGGCCGGGATCCGCTGGCATAGGCAAATCATATATAAAATCCCCGTGTCTCCCGTTTCCTTTCACTCTCCCCCCTTCGCAGTCTTTCCCAGTTTTTTTTGCGAAACAACTAGTGCCGCCGCCGCCGTTAACGTTGCGGCCGTGCGCCAAACGTCTCTTCTTGGAACGGGCGATTCCGCAACGCACAGGCGTTCTCGGCACACAGCCCGCTCGTCGAGCAAGGCTTATTTACGCATCCGGCAGCTCGTGCGGTACGCCTCGTCAGATGGAGCTGACAACAGTGCTGCAGCGAGACGCGATGAAAAGCGTG